GAACACCCCTGGGACTTGATGGATCGTCGTGTTCGACAACGACCACACTCTTCAGCCAACCGGCAAGACCTGATCTTGGCCCTCCAAGAAGAATGGCGTCAAATCCCACGTGACCTCTCATCAGACGACTGACTTTTTCTGTGCGTCGAAGAGTTTTTGTGTGTATTGAGGCATTTGGTGGTCACACACGCTACTAATGACTTCTTATTGAACGTGAGCGATTGTTTATGTACTCTGCCTATTGTCCATGATTCTGAAAGCTCGAGATTTGTACCACACCCAACATTGGGGGGCTCTGACGTCATTCTCGGTCGCGGTATGATTGTCATTTTCAGTGTCGATTATGTTGATATATTGATCTTCTCAATACACTTTACTTCATACATGTATGTTTTGTTGTTTTTGAGAAAGAGTGATTTCAAACTCTGGTAAAGTTTCTTTTGGACGTCAGTTTATTTATATAACAATCAATGTAGGTCATCTAGTTATCATAACTGCATGCACTGGAGACTTGACGTTTAGGCAGGAATAGACACACATCCTGAAAACATGTGAGGAAAACAGATTTGGCCAGTCAGCGGATGGCAGATATTAAGCAGCTGCCTCCGAAGGAAAGCATCAATAACAGCAGGTTAGCATGTGAAGAAGTGTGACAGGAACAATTTCACAACAAGCCTGTCTGTTATGGATTGCCTAGGGGTCAGTTCTGAAACAAGCCAGCGTTATAGAGATACCCCATCGATGTCGGCACTCACCGTCAAAATGAAGACCTACAACATCGTTATAGACTTAATGCTTGTTCCAGCAGGCAACCACATGCTATTCCGTGTTAGAATGCTGTCCCTCTGTGTGAGCAAAGTATGCCGGTATGTGCAAAGAAGCAGTTCCCCTGTCTGTCGAGATATATACATAACTGACATCCTCATGTTTTTTAATGATATGATATATAGTTCGAAGGACATATGGAAACACACACGGACAAAGATCCGTGTGGAAAGAATTGCACAAAGAACAATAAAAAAGAGATATCACGAATATAATTAAAAAGGCAACGCAAATCAGATTGGTGATAAGACACTTTTATACACCAACTTCTTTCTAAGCTTTAATGTGTGTTTATTTGTGGCTTCAGTATCACATGTTTCTATTCATGACAGAAACGAATATCAATACCTTCAGGTCGTAGCGATAATAATCATATCGTCTATTATTACCTCAAGGGTAAAACATATCAGTGCACATATTTCTGATATTTGAACTTTGTGAACGTGAGAACATGTCGATTTCATGGACGTGAGGCAAAATAGAGGGGAAATATACATTTACATCTGAAAATCAGCGATGACACAAGGTGTTCCTGAAAAAGCCTGTCCGTCCCGAAAGCACCCACCACTCACATACTGCCGTGTTGTAGACTGTCACAACTATAGCGGAAAGATGAATGTAGGCATAGTGGTAGGAAGGACGTACTGTCGTGTTTGGACTGTCACAACTACAGCGGAAAGGCGAATGAAGGCACAGTGTCTTGAAGGACTTACTGCCGTAATGCAGACTGTCACAACTATAGTGGAAAGGTGAATGTAGACACAGTGTCTTGAAGGACTTACTACCGTTATGTAGACTGTCACAACTATAGTGGAAAGGTGAATGTAGACACAGTGTCTTGAAAGACTTACTACCGTTATGTAGACTGTCACAACTATAGTGGAAAGGTGAATGTAGACACAGTGTCTTGAAGGACTTACTGCCGTAATGTAGACTGTCACAACTATAGCGGAAAGGTGAATGTAGACATTGTGATAGAGATGACGTACTGCCGTGTTGTAGACTGTCACAACTATAGCGGAAAGGTGAATGTAGACACAGTGATAGAGATGACGTACTGCCGTGTTGTAGACTGACACAACTATAGCAGAAAGGTGAATGTAGACACAGTGTTAGAGATGACGTACCGCCGTGTTGTAGACTGACACAACTATAGCGGAAAGGTGAATGTAGGTACAATGATAGAGATGACGTTCTGCCGTTTTGTAGACTGACACAACTATAGCGGAAAGGTGAATGTAGACACAGTGATAGAGATGACGTTCTGCCGTGTTGTAGACTGTCACTCAAGACTATAGCAGTACTGCCGTGTTGTAGACTGTCACAACTATAGCGGAAAGGGAAAGGGAAAGGTGAATGTAGGTACAGTGATAGAGATGACGTACTGCCGTGTTGTAGACTGTCACTCAAGACTATAGCGGAAAGGGAAAGGGAAAGGGAAAGGTGAATGTAGGTAAAGTGATAGAGATGACGTACTGCCGTGTTGTAGACTGTCACAACTATAGCGGAAAGGTGAATGTAGACACAGTGATAGAGATGACGTTCTGCCGTGTTGTAGACTGTCACACCTACAACGGAAAGGTGAATGTAGACCCAGTGATAGAGATGACGTACTGCCGTGTTGTAGACTGACACAACTATAGCCGAAAGGTGAATGTAGGTACAGTGATAGAGATGACGTTCTGCCGTTTTGTAGACTGTCACACCTACAACGGAAAGGTGAATGTAGACACAGTGATAGAGATGACGTACTGCCGTGTTGTAGACTGACACAACTATAGCCGAAAGGTGAATGTAGGTACAGTGATAGAGATGACGTTCTGCCGTTTTGTAGACTGACACACCTACAACGGAAAGGTGAATGTAGACACAGTGATAGAGATGACGTTCTGCCGTGTTGTAGACTGTCACAACTATAGCGGAAAGGGAAAGGGAAAGGTGAATGTAGGTAAAGTGATAGAGATGACGTTCTGCCGTGTTGTAGACTGACACAACTACAGCGGAAAGGTGAATGTAGGTACAGTGATAGAGATGACGTACTGCCGTGTTGTAGACTGTCACAACTATAGCGGAAAGGTGAATGTAGACACAGTGATAGAGATGACGTTCTGCCGTGTTGTAGACTGTCACAACTATAGCGGAAAGGTGAATGTAGACACTGTGATAGAGATGACGTACTGCCGTGTTGTAGACTGTCACAACTATAGCGGAAAGGTGAACGTAGACACAGTGATAGAGATGACGTTCTGCCGTGTTGTAGACTGTCACACCTACAACGGAAAGGTGAATATAGACACAGTGATAGAGATGACGTACTGCCGTGTTGTAGACTGTCACACCTACAACGGGAAACTTGAATTTAGGCACAGTGTCTGGAAGGACGTACTGCCGTGTTGTAGTGAGTGAGTATGGTTTTACGCCGCTTTTAGCAATATTCCAGGAATATCACGGCGGGGGACACCAGAAATGGGCTTCACACATTGAACCCATGTCGGGAATCGAACCCAGGTATTAGCAGTGACGAGCGAACGCTTTAATCACTAGGCTCCCCGACCGCCCCTTGCTGTGTTGTAGACTGTCACAACTATAGCAGAAAGGTGAATGTAGACACAGTGATAGGGATGACGTACTGCCGTGTTGTAGACTGTCACAACCATAGCGGAAAGGTGAATGTAGACACAGTGTCTCGAATGACGTACTGCCGTGTTGTAGACTGTCACAACTATAGCGGAAAGGTGAATGTAGACACAGTGTCTCGAATGACGTACTGCCGTGTTGTAGACTGTCACAACTATAGCGGAAAGGTGAATGTAGACACAGTGTCTCGAATGACGTACTGCCGTGTTATTGTAATACGATGAAAATCAATTTTGTTAACATTGTTTGTCATATGCAAAAGTTACTTATGAATGTTTTAAATTGTTATTCATTTTGTCGTTAAATGATAAATAATGATATACATGGTAACTACTGTCGGAAGTAAATAACACCTGTATTGCTGAAACGTCACTGTTACTGTTACTTCAACTACGTTTACATGTACTTCCTAATTTTTGAATACTAGGCCTCCGTATATGTCATTAGAAGTGAAGTTCCTATCCAGCAGCCTAATCTCAGTCTGCAGAGTGAACGCGAGATGTAATATGGGACAAGGCACAGGAACAAGGAAATGATGGCAAGCATCTACTCTTCACAAAACAGTGGTTAGATAGAGCTGATACTCTATTATACTAGACACCTGTCACATGACCATCCTCATAAAAAGGCACGAACTTTAGTAAACACCTTCCTTGCCTAAAGAATCTCGAGATCAACGTTTTCCTGCTAAAAACCCTTGAAACACAATTGTGGCTCACTGATTAACATTAAAGCCCTTGTAAACTATCTAGATATTTTAGTTGACAGCATAAAACATCAACATCATTACTACCCGAACTAATGATGTGAAAACTGTCACCTTATCAGCATATGTTGATATAATAACATTTATGTTCAACTGTATGGAGCCTGATGCGCAAATAATTGACATCACATGAGAAAATCCTTTGACGGGTCAAAACAGCTTAGAAATAAATCCTAGGTTTAAACCAATATTAGCGTGGGGTTTAAGCCCGAGATCACGACAATTACTACTCGCAAGGCAAAACAAATTGGAGTCAAACATACACATAGTTTGTTCAGGGAGGTGGAAGGTGAAGACTGTAGAGGGGGTACGTGGAACGTGTAGGTGTTGAGGTTGGTAGGTGGAACGTGTAGGTGTTGAGGTTGGTAGGTGGAACGTGTAGGGTGTTGAGGGAGGAAGGTGGAGCGTGTAGGGTGTTGAGGGAGGAAGGTGGAGCGTGTAGACTGTAGATGGGGGTAGGTGGAACGTGTAGGGTGTTGAGGGAGGTAGGTGGAACGTGTAGACTGTAGATGGGGGTAGGTGGAACGTGTAGGGTGTTGAGGTTGGTAGGTGGAAGGTGTAGGGTGTGGAGGTTGGTAGGTGGAACGTGTAGGGTGTTGAGGTTGGTAGGAGGAACGTGTAGGTGTTGAGGTTGGTAGGTGGAACGTGTAGACTGTAGATGGGGGTAGGTGGAAGGTGTAGGTGTTGAGGTTGGTAGGTGGAACGTGTAGGGTGTTGAGGGAGGAAGGTGGAGCGTGTAGGGTGTTGATGGAGGTAGGTGGAACGTGTAGATTTAGATGGGGGTAGGTGGAACGTGTAGGGTGTTGAGGTTGGTAGGTGGAAGGTGTAGGGTGTTGAGGGAGGAAGGTGGAAGGTGTAGGGTGTTGATGGAGGTAGGTGGAACGTGTAGTCTGTAGATGGGGGTAGGTGGAACGTGTAGGGTGTTGAGGGAGGAAGGTGGAGCGTGTAGACTGTAGATGGGGGTAGGTGGAACGTGTAGGGTGTTGAGGGAGGAAGGTGGAGCGTGTAGACTGTAGATGGGGGTAGGTGGAAGGTGTAGGGTGTTGAGGGAGGTAGGTGGAACGTGTAGACTGTAGATGGGGGTAGGTGGAAGGTGTAGGGTGTTGAGGGAGGAAGGTGGAGCGTGTAGACTGTAGATGGGGGTAGGTGGAAGGTGTAGGGTGTTGAGGGAGGAAGGTGGAACGTGTAGTCTGTAGATGGGGGTAGGTGGAAGGTGTAGGGTGTTGAGGGAGGAAGGTGGAGCGTGTAGGGTGTTGAGGGAGGTGGGTGGAACGTGTAGGGTGTTGAGGTTGGTAGGTGGAACGTGTAGACTGTAGATGGGGGTAGGTGGAAGGTGTAGGGTGTTGAGGGAGGAAGGTGGAACGTGTAGTCTGTAGATGGGGGTAGGTGGAAGGTGTAGGGTGTTGAGGGAGGAAGGTGGAGCGTGTAGGGTGTTGAGGGAGGTGGGTGGAACGTGTAGGGTGTTGAGGTTGGTAGGTGGAACGTGTAGACTGTAGATGGGAGTAGGTGGAAGGTGTAGGGTGTTGAGGGAGGAAGGTGGAACGTGTAGTCTGTAGATGGGGGTAGGTGGAAGGTGTAGGGTGTTGAGGGAGGAAGGTGGAGCGTGTAGGGTGTTGAGGGAGGTGGGTGGAACGTGTAGGGTGTTGAGGTTGGAAGGTGGAACGTGTAGACTGTAGATGGGGGTAGGTGGAAGGTGTAGGGTGTTGAGGGAGGAAGGTGGAACGTGTAGTCTGTAGATGGGGGTAGGTGGAAGGTGTAGGGTGTTGAGGGAGGAAGGTGGAACGTGTAGGGTGTTGAGGGAGGTGGGTGGAACGTGTAGGGTGTTGAGGTTGGTAGGTGGAACGTGTAGGGTGTTGAGGGAGGTAGGTGGAACGTGTAGACTGTAGATGGGAGTAGGTGGAAGGTGTAGGGTGTTGAGGGAGGAAGGTGGAACGTGTAGTCTGTAGATGGGGGTAGGTGGAAGGTGTAGGGTGTTGAGGGAGGAAGGTGGAGCGTGTAGGGTGTTGAGGGAGGTGGGTGGAACGTGTAGGGTGTTGAGGTTGGTAGGTGGAAGGTGTAGGGTGTTGATGGGGGTAGGTGGAGCGTGTAGGGTGTTGAGGGAGGTGGGTGGAACGTGTAGGGTGTTAAGGGAGAAAGGTGGAACGTGTAGGGTGTTGAGGGAGGTAGGTGGAACGTGTAGACTGTAGATGGGGGTAGGTGGAACGTGTAGGGTGTTGAGGGAGGAAGGTGGAGCGTGTAGGGTGTTGAGGGAGGTGGGTGGAACGTGTAGGGTGTTGAGGTTGGTAGGTGGAAGGTGTAGGGTGTTGATGGGGGTAGGTGGAGCGTGTAGGGTGTTGAGGGAGGTGGGTGGAACGTGTAGGGTGTTGATGGAGGTAGGTGGAACGTGTAGACTGTAGATGGGGGTAGGTGGAACGTGTAGTCTGTAGATGGGGGTAGGTGGAACGTGTAGTCTGTAGATGGGGGTAGGTGGAACGTGTAGGGTGTTGAGGGAGGAAGGTGGAGCGTGTAGACTGTAGATGGGGGTAGGTGGAACGTGTAGGATGTTGAGGGAGGTAGGTGGAACGTGTAGACTGTAGATGGGGGTAGGTGGAACGTGTAGGATGTTGAGGGAGGTAGGTGGAACGTGTAGACTGTAGATGGGAGTAGGTGGAACGTGTAGGGTGTTGAGGGAGGAAGGTGGAACGTGTAGGGTGTTGAGGGAGGTAGGTGGAACGTGTAGACTGTAGATGGGGGTAGGTGGAACGTGTAGGGTGTTGAGGGAGGAAGGTGGAGCGTGTAGACTGTAGATGGGGGTAGGTGGAACGTGTAGGATGTTGAGGGAGGTAGGTTTGAACGTGTAGACTGTAGATGGGAGTAGGTGGAACGTGTAGGGTGTTAAGGGAGAAAGGTGGAACGTGTAGGGTGTTGAGGGAGGTAGGTGGAACGTGTAGACTGTAGATGGGGGTAGGTGGAACGTGTAGGGTGTTGAGGGAGGAAGGTGGAGCGTGTAGACTGTAGATGGGGGTAGGTGGAACGTGTAGGATGTTGAGGGAGGTAGGTGGAACGTGTAGACTGTAGATGGGAGTAGGTGGAACGTGTAGGGTGTTAAGGGAGAAAGGTGGAACGTGTAGGGTGTTGAGGGAGGTAGGTGGAACGTGTAGACTGTAGATGGGGGTAGGTGGAACGTGTAGGGTGTTGAGGGAGGAAGGTGGAACGTGTAGGGTGTTCAGGGAGGTAGGTGGAACGTGTAGGGTGTTGAGGGAGGAAGGTGGAGCGTGTAGACCGTGGAGAAACGTAATTATAATGCTCAAAGTCAATACATTCATATGAATTGATTTACACATCAAGACATAACGACCTATTACCGACAGCAACTATGTCACATGGAGGAAATGAGAATTTCTTATATTGTCGTCTTTTGATATCGCTCGCTCTGAAATGGAGGGAAAGGGAGGTGTGTGTGTATGTGTGCGTGTGTGTGTTTGTGGTGCTGCTGATGTCGATTTATAGTGCTAGCCCACAGAGATACCATGCTGCAGTTTAACATGAATACCCAACTCAGACACCGTTTACCGACTACGAAACAACCAGTCCTTGTTTTATCCTCTTAATGCCGAGCGCCAGACAGGGTAACAACAATCACCATATTTAAACGTATTTTGGTATGACGCGGCCGGGGATCGAACCCTTGACCTCCACCACTAGACCACAGAGGCGGTTGTTTTATATGACATGTAGATGTGTATGAATTCCTAATGCGCGTTAAATAATGTAAGTTGACATCTACTAGACAAATTATAATGCATGCCTTGCGCTAAGACATAGTCTGTAACCTTTAAATCATTTCTCACTATGTGTCATTCTGGTCTTAAATGTTTTTGTTTTTTTCAGAAGGTAAAATTCAAGGTATTCATATGCTAGTAACCTTTTCAAACTCTGCATCGTTTAGCAGAAAGAATGTCTTGTAATATATATTTGTACCGGCTTGATCAGTCTTAACAAAGTAGACACAGTTTATGGATAACAACTTCTTTAATATTGTAAAGGCGACGTTTCGGTATAGATGCTTATTGTCAACGGTATAAGGATCCATACCGAAACGTCGCCTTTACAATATTAAAGAAGTTGTGATCCATAAATTGTGTCTACTTTGTCATCCGTCAACTTCTAAGTAATGCCTATCAAACAATTCATGTTCAGCCTTCTTTTACAATTATGATCATTCATATGATAGAAAAAATTAATTTGAAGTTTACACGAAATACGGCATGAAGTGCTTGAACGACACATTCTGACGTTCATACGTTTTTCACGAAACTGTAGTCTGGAAATGACGTAAAACACTGACTGACTACTTCCACATTCCTCGGGACCCCTGGGAAAACCTTGCACGAATACCTACAAAAGCGCTGTTTCCGATCATTTTGACCCTTTCATCGTTTTACAGGTTCTACTACACCAAATCAGAACCAGCCTTCAGTGCAGATCGAGAGATATCTGCAGGCTGTGATTGGAGGATATTCTTTAAGATTTTTATGTCTTTCAAATATACATCCATCCATTTATTAAAACTGACCATGTTTTTCTATATTTAGTCTTTTTCAACATGATGACTTATGCTGAATGTGACCACAGCTATTTTCAAGTAGGTGACATTTGGTGCGAAACTGGGGGTGGTGTGTTTAGCTTCCTGTACTCGGAAAAGGAGCTGGCTAAGCTGGTAAGTTTTTATTTTTTTACTGCTGCTCTAAGGCCAAACTGTGCACACACGTACAGGTAATAGCTGTTGAATGCTTAGTTATTTTAAAAAAAATATAACGTTACTATAAAAGTCTATGGGAAAACATTTGGTTGTGTGTAACCTGTAACATACACTGAGAAAGGTCAACGTGTTTAACTGCATGATCGTTCTCGAATCTCCTCGCTACGACCCATCTTTGTGAACAAAACGTAGAAATGCACATCCACTAGGCTTATTGAGTATTGATTCTATTCGTGTCTAGACTGACAGTTACAGTCTACAGCAATCTATGAATTTACCTTGGTATCTATTTGACACATCTTTATAATCACCTTTGAATGATCGCCCAGCTGATCAATGATGACCAACACATGTAAACGCCCAAGGCTTATTAACAACTTCGGATATCTCTCCAGTCACGTTCATCGTGTATTACGTGTGTTACGACGCGCTTTCATTGTGACTGACTCACTAAGGTGGTTCGTACCATACCTTTCTGATCCAGTGATGTTATTATTTGAATACATTTCTTGTAAAGAAAGAACAACAGTTTTTCCTGTAAAGCAGGGTGAGCGTGCATACATTTATGTCACCCTACTTTTTGGCGAACTATATTTCCGCGATACAGTTGTTTGTTGTATGGATATCAGTGTAAACATGAAATCACACGTACTAAATAAATTTGTGAATAGTTCTAGGACTACATCCCGTGAGGTAAAAAGCAGCGATATAAAAATTATAAGAATAGACTTTCACTTTGTGTGAGGTCATTGGAGTATGAACCTTCATAGAGTGTGGGCCAAGCTCCGACGTTCATAGAGTGAGGGACCCGTGAAGATCCGGGGTTGTATAAGTCTTCAGCAACCCATATTTGCCGTAAAAGGCGACTATGCTTGTCGTAAGAGGCGACTAACGGGATCGGGTGGTCAGGCTCGCTGACTTGGTTGATGCATGTCATCGATCCCAATTGCGTGGATCGATGTTCATGAGGTCAATCACTGGATTGTCTGGTCCAGACTCGATTATTTAAGACCGCCTCATCCTCATCGGACTCCTCTTGCATAAAGAAAGAGGTAAATATAACAGTCATGATAAACACGATATTATATTGTTGGGCATATTGCGAATTATTCTAAATAATATTTCCAGAGACCCACTGTCCATAAGTTTTCCAAAGCGTTTTTCAACGAGTCTGAGGAATAAATTCTATTTTTGAGTTTCTAAAGAGGCTATGAGAGGGTTCAATGTGAAAATGTGATCCTTTGCAGAGTAACCTTTTCCGAATCCATATTGTTATTCAGATAATATCGCAGAGCTATCTAAGAATGAGTGAGTGAGTGAGTGAGTATGGTTTTACGCCACTTTTAGCAATATTCCAGCAATATCACGGCGGGGAACACCAGAAATGGGCTTCACACATTGTACCCATGTCGGGAATCGAACCCGGGTCTTCGGCGTGACGAGCGAACGCTTTAACCACCAGGCTACCCGACCGCCCCTATCTAAGAATGAAGTCAGTCTGGTGTTCAATAGAGATGTGAAAGGTTTACTTAAAGAGCAATGGGTTATGTGTAGTTTCACAGAGAGTACTGCCCATACCAACCGGAAGTTGATAGATAGCAACTACTATTTTCTCGCTGGCCAGTAAAAAAACTGATTTCACCCAAGCAAATGGGGCATGCATTAGGCAAGTGTTATACCCTTTTAATTTATGTTTTGAACTAAGAATAACTTCTATCCTGCACCGAAGGGCTTCTATACCATAATCTGTATAGTATTTATCAACACCACGCAAAAAAATGTTCAAATTTTTTATCTCTACTTTTGATTTAATTTGTCGCGAACCAGGCATCATTTGATGCACGTACTAACGCATGTGTGTGTCACTTTCAGCGTTGTAAGGCTATTTCGGGATTTTTATCAATTTCTTATCTTTGTGTGATGTATATATTCCGAGGTTTTTAACAAAACAAAAACTATAAGAATTGATGAAAATAACACTATCCAGGTTGTTGATTTTGTACATAAGCTGTCTGTCTTGATATTTTTAGTTTGACAAAATCTCATTTGTACCTTATTCAGATTGCCAATAAGCCACAAGTAACTCTATAATGTTGAAGACATTTATCATTCTAGGAATGACAGAGGCCATCTTTCATTGCCATTACTGATTACAGTGAACGCTTTTCACGTGTAGTGAAACGTGCACGTCTTTATTCATACATTAATTCATGTTTCTTTTTGACGTGGGTGCTTGAAGATAAGGAACTGGTGTAAAAAGAATAATGTCAAACTAGTACTATACATGTAGTACTAAAGACGATCGAAAAAAATTAATATATGTGACATATCAAATAATGCTCCATATGAAGCCAGTATGTTAACTGAGGAAGACATCTGCCAAAACATGCATCAGTACCATCAACTTTGGACTTCACTTTAAAACCTGTCCATTCTTCTTTTGAACGGAATTTCCAAGCTCAATACATGGCTGGGCCCAGCAGCCAGCTGTCATCCACTGTGTGACAGTCCTAAATAACTAGTTAGTAGTTGTTCCCACTGACATGGCCTCAATAACATAACCATTATGTTTAAGCATTACTACATTAATTGTTTGATCAAAGAACTTGCTATACGTTACATTACAGATAATGCCACATGTAAGGCCAGTATAATAACTGACGAAACTATCTACCACAAATATGCATCAGTCCCCTCACCCTTTGGCTTGACTATAAAATGTCCCTTGAACGTCCATTCATCTTTTGTACTGGATTCCATAAATGTATGTACAAGGAGAGATATTTTACTAGGTCCAGCAAATGTACAGCCAAATCCCTGTCTCAAAGATTAACCATAATCCTTTATACAATCAAGGAAGAAATCTATTTATATTCACAGAAGGTATTTGAGACAAGAGGAATAAATACCAAGTGGATTCTCAAACCTCAAAGGACTTGCTTGAATTGTCACAATCTCAGAAAAGAACCAAAAGCAATTGTGTCAAAACATTTGATTTTGTGACATTCTACACCAATGTATCCCACAGGACAAACGTAAGGGCAAACTTCAATCAATGATCCATGGTGACCATAGATATAGTTGCATCTCCAGCTTCAGAGGTTCAGGATTATTTGTCTCAAAAGTGAAAGAAAATGTCATCAAAAGTTTACCGAGAAAACAACGTGAAATGCTGGACTTCTTGAGTCATAACAGCCATGTGAAAATTGATGATAAGACATGATGGCCACCAATTGTCATGCCCTCCTTGCTGAACTGTTTCGTTATTCACATGAATTTGGAATTCCTGCTCAGATTAGCAAAATCAACACAAGGGAATTTGTCCAAGAAATTTAACTTAAGCTTCAGGTCTATCAATGACCAATAACCGTTAAACAGCCAATTCCCTTGCACTGCCTTTACCCACGTGAACTTGAAATAAAAGAGATCAGTGAAACTGCCTCATCTGTGACAAAATGTCTCCACAAGACTGTATGACAAGAGACATGACTTCAACTTTCCAATAGTCAACTATTCCTTTGTGTCAAGCGAAATTCTCACAGCTATATTTCAGCAGCAGAACTTTGGACGTACAGTCGAGCATGTCCTTCCCACGAAGCTCAAAAGTTTGATCAGTGTTGCAGTATTCAAGGACTCTTCCCAAGCTTTCACAAAGTTTTATGGTTGACATGCGATGGACATTTTCAAATGTGTCGCATTAGTATGGAATACTGTAAGGGACATTCTCGCGATCTCGCATTCTCGCGATCTCGACCTTTGGAAACGAGGTAAATATGCCCAAAACACGAGAATGCGAGATCGCGAGAACGCGAGATTTGGCCAAAATCTCGCATTCTCGCGATCTCGCATTCTCGTGTTTTTGGTACATAGCACTTTTTGTCAAAAGTCGACAACGCGAGAATGCGACATTTTGACATGATGCAAAATCTCGCAATATCGCAATCTCGACTTGTCAAATTAGGCCACAAAAACACGAAATATTATAAGGTCAAGCGCATGCGCACGTTAGTAGTCCTTTGGTCATGCTTCTTTCATGCTCTTCATTCTCCAAGTAGCATTTAGCAAACTTATGACTTGAGCTTGAAAATGCTATGTAATT